TTTTGTGACGGCGGAGGCGTTGTCCCTCCCCCCTACTGGTGTACGATTTTTTTTTACATCCGACGAATCCGGATCAGCGTCAGATTTTTGCCATCTTGTTATTGGCTGATTGGTTCGTTGTCGGTTTCCCATGCTGTTAACGAGTAAAATTGAAAGTTGTCGTTGTTGCGTTGTTTTCATGATGCGTCACTGACAATATCCGTTGTTATTCGTTTGTTTATCGGTCGTTGTGCCTGATGAGCGGTTCGGTTTAGAGAAATGACTGTAAACATGCTGAGGGCAGTGATCGTCGCCCAGTACGAAGAACTTTTAGGGAGCTCCAGAACGGTCGAGGACTACCGCCTGCTCAACAATCTTAGGCGTATGGCGGCTGATTTCCTGTGTTCCGCAACTGAGGTAACGACTTTTGAATTCGTTCATCGAAAGTTGTTCACCTGTGCTCTACGGATTTGAATTTTAGGATGCTAAGTTCTTCAACCGAACTTTCGAAAAGATACTGGCACGCTCTGCCGCTGACGCGCCAGCCGGCTTTAACGGAATCCACGCGGCTACGTTGTTCGACAGTTTGGAGAAGATCGTGACTAACGTTTTAGCATGTGGCTGGCGAAAAGAATTCGGCCGAATCCAGGTATCACTCCTAAGACACAAAAAGCAATCATAGCACAGGATGGAACAAAGCATTTGACGTACATGACATCACCCGGCAACAAAAAATGCAGAAAGATATTCATTTTCGATTCTAAAATTCACTCATTTTGATCAGTCAAAATGAGTGACTTATAGATGAAACAATAAAATAGAAAAATGACAATAAAATCGTACACGCATATTAAACTGACTGAGCCTTCTTTGTAATTAACTGATGTCATCACTGCTAAGTCGCGAAGCCAACGTTCGTTTCTCTCGTGCAATTTGTTGCACCATTTGTTTCGATATCTTCCAAGTACGCTCTTGCATCCGCTTGGGTATCAGTCGATCACTGCTGAAGACCGTCCGTCATCTGTCAATTGTGCGATATCGTCTGCCGTACTCTATCTCGAGTTGAACGCAGCTGACTGGAAGTAATTTTCGATTGAGATTTCTGTTTCTTTCGAGCTTAGCTGCTGTCCACACTTGTCAGGTGT